AAGGTAGAGTATAAAAGATCATATATTTTCAAAGCTCTTCCAGTGAAGCAATAATTGATATTTAGATATGGACTATAATTCGAAAGTATGCGGCCTATAAAATGTAGTTTTAAAAGTTTGAAAGGCAGCTTATTTTTTTAAAGCTGTACCGAGTATTGTTAATCCTGTAAACAATCTTTACCAGACTTTTTATGCGAGGTTTCCGGTTTCGGTCAATTCTTTATAGTGAGCGGTGTGCTCACATTTGTCAAGCGCCCTCTCAAAATTCAAATGTTTGGCAGCCAAAAATTCATGTTTGAACCCACTTTGAACATATTTTCTCGTTACGTGTCCACGGTTGGATCCAAACGACGGTATAACAGCTCGCGGGTGTGCGTGGATGGTGCCGGAAGAGACAGTTGTCGTTTTTATACAATGTGTTTATACTGATGTACCGAAGACCTCAATTGGCAATTTTCGGACCGCTGTCTCCAACGAACTTCCACAAGCCAGGACCGTTTTGCTCTTCGGCAGCTACTCTGGCCAGATTTTTCGACGTAGAAATCTTTTGACTCGTCGGCGAAAGTAATACCAAGTTTGCACGTCATATCGCTTGTTGTGCGTGATCGGCAGTGAAATAAATTACCCGCCAAGTTTAAAATTACATGACGCTACTCTAACCGACCTATAAGGTGGCGTCCTTAAAATAACCACGCAGTATCACACAGAACCAAGAAAAGATTGAAAATAATTTTCGTGGAAATAGGGTCATGCATGGGGGATTCACTCTATCATTCTTTCTTGCTGAAGCATTAAAGTTACACTGAAGCATTCAAAATAGCTCATGCACGTTTAACGTGTTTATTGAGAGGAAGGATGACATTTTGCTATCATGTAAACAGATTTCTTGCTGTTAGTCTGCTTTCTGAAATATTTACCTAACAAAACTCCAGTTTTCAAGAAGAAAATTGTTCCAAAAAATGTAATTTTTGGTCCAAACATCCTCCCCTGATGCCCAGTGCAGGTTTTTGTTCGAAGTCAAACAAATGTCACAGTGAGTAGTCTCATCTGAAGTACTAACTACACACAAAGTATGAGGAAAGGGTTTGTTTGACCATTTCCAATTTTGCTCAATACTTAGCGACATTCGTTCTTAATTTTTTTGGGTTTTTTGTTATTAAGTAAATCCTGTCCTCTGATTGGGTGATTGATTGACTGACAAATAGCCTACAGCCTATAGCTGGAATAAAATATATATAAAATAGCCTATGTCGAGTTGGAACATGAAATTGTAAGATGGTCTAGTCAGAATGTGCATAGCTTAGCGTTCATTTACAATACAGCACAAAACAAAACGAAATGATGCTGACCAACAGAGAATGGGTTAGTTCTCGAAGAATGACGTCAATCGTCCAATTAGTAACAGTTATTGGGGAAAAGAGTACAGTTGCATGGTGTACGCGAAAATGGTTGCATTATATCAAATGAACAGGAGAGACGAAACAGCCAAATTTAAAGATCTGCCGGCCGAGAGTAGACAAAGAAGGATTGTCTCGCATGCCCACTGCTTGACAGTCTGCAAAAAAACTCGTTCACATCATGAAACTCAGCCAAGAATTAGGAGAAACCGTGACGTCAAGTTACCATGGTAGCAAAATTTCTAGATCTCAACAATCTTTCTTGAGAAAGACGTTCATTTGCATTGTCGAACGATAGAGGAAAAGTATGGGCTACCGTTTTGTTCCTGAGTGCAATCATACACCAGAAATTCATACATGTCAATTTTTTCGTTTTTTTCCGCTATATTAGCAGGACCGGGACCGTTTGTTGAGATCCAGAAATGTTGCTACCATGGCAGCGTGACGTAACGACTTCTCCTCTCTATTGGCAATGTTTTGAAGACATTCTTGGTGGCAGAGTGTCGAGTGTCGACTGCACCTACGGACTAGCCACTAAGCGATACTGAACGCAACGTTTCAATAGCAAGTTCCTGGTTCTCATTAAATTCCCAGTCTACACATAGCAATTTCTATGCAGGCCTTTCGGCTTTTAATTGTCCCTTGTTCTAAAAGAAATAATGGTACCTGGAAGGTCCTTTAACTTGCCTGCATCCAAATGTCTTTGCAGGTACATTACAACGACCAAGTAACTTTTCTTAAGTTTATCATTACCTTCACTATCACCATTGTTGCCTCGGTCGCCTCGGGCATACGTCCTCTCAACCAGCCCATTTACATCATTTCCCCCACGTTTTAACTCCTCAAACTGATTCTGTTTGAGAGTGATGCCCTTTTCTACATATACCGCACTCATGCTGAACACTACTTTAAACGTATTGTCGAATAAAGATGGTAGAATTAGGCGTCGTTCAGAGTTGGTGTTCGGGCACTGTGCCTGAGCACGGTACTCTCGGGGCAGTAATGTGATTACAGTCTTTGTTCATATACCCACGCTAAGAATTCGGGCAGGGTGCCAGTGCCCACGGCGTACGAGGTCGTGACCTAGTTCTCGGGAACTAATGAGCACCGGGTCCACATCTTTTCTTTCGCTCCGAGACAATGTACTGTTTTGTATCCTCTTCTACACTCCTTTTCCAATGACGTCTGACAGGGCGAAACTGAGCAAATATGGGCGAAATTGAGCAAATATGTACACAGTGATATAGGGTACCCAAGGGCTGATCAATGCCATTTTGGGCCGGTAGCTCAGCACAGTCTAGTTCTCGGGTACCAAGTTTGAACATCCCCTTATTCATTGAACTTAATAATTAAACGCATATAAAATTTATTGCTGAAATATCTGAGACAGAAAAAAGTTTTTCTAGAAACGAATATCCTAGGAGAGGAGGAAAATAGAAAAAAGAATTAATCCTAAATGTGCGTACTCACTTCAAACCAAACCAACAAACACTCTACCATACGTGCATTTCTCTTCATACCACCCTCCAGGATAAAAGAAAGAATATACATAGGGCAGTGTTCCACAGTTACTAAGAACAAACTCCTCTTAGAAAACATTTGAAAAGTATATAAACAATCCAATCGAAATTCAAAGTGAAGTTTCATCTCAATGCGAGTCGTGTATCATATACAATTGATGATTTTTGCCCTTCTCTCTTTCCAGATTGCGTCCTCCCTCTTCCCTATTTTGAAGGTTTTTACTTCATCCTCCCTCTTATTATTTGGTCTTTTTTCCTTCTCCTTTAACATAAGATTTAAAGTCACGACCAGCTGATTTAAGCTAAATAAATATTACAATTATAACGAAACGGATTCCTCAATTATGTTCAAATTATTGCTTTATAGCTTTGGAAAAAAAAGTTGAGCGCGTAAATTGGTTAGGGTTAGTCTGTTAAACTATTGAAAGACACGGCCGTTTATACTGGGACGCAGTCATTTAGGCATGAACTGTGAAATAACCGCGCAGACTTGTCAATCCCCCTTTCAGACGATAACAGTAACGCCGAAAGACTCTAAAGTGACTCTTAAATGCTCGATTAAGACTGGTGGAAATGTGCAAGATTTGACCTGGCAGGGCGTTGAAGAATCCTCCGGGCCAGTAAAGGTCTATACTTACTACAAAACTATTCGACGGATGTAAATCAGTCACGTGGATGTTTTTCTTATAAAATACGCTAGTGAGCATTTTCTCCTTTTTCCTCTTTTGTAATTCATGGTTTACATAAAAACATCATGATGGATAATTTTTTGTCTTCTTTTTACGTATTGCATTATTAATTATCCCTGAAGACCTTGTAGGTGGCTTGCGGAGATTTAATTGCATGGCGGTCAGTGTAAAACGCAGCCCGCGGACATGGGGTAAAATGCAGACTGAGTGTAAAATACAGACTGCAGACTGAGAGTAAAATGCAGGCTAGGGTAAAATGCAGAATTAAGATCGACTGCAGACTTTTTAAATACTTGTGCTCCTTCTTCTCCAAAAAGGTGAATTATAGCCTCAAAGCAGGCGTTTTATTGTATTGAATCATTTTTTGACTCGCTCCAACGCTCGGTCAGTCAAAAGTCCAAATCAATCGCACAGCAAAATACGCCTGCTTTGCAGGCTAGGTGAATTAGCTAGCTGGTATCAGTTACACACCTCGCTTCCTTGTCGAAGTACATTGCACATTCGCTACATTCGCCAGAAGTTTCAATGAACGTCCGAACAGCTTACATCCGCCTACCTTGATTTGCAATACTTTCATAGAAGGTCATCCAAATTTCCTGCAGAGCATCTTTGTTTGTCGTTGGAATGATTTACTCCCATTTTTATCGCCATAATTCTTTCTGTACAGCATTTTGGGTCAGCATAAACATCGCGTTGTACCAATTCACAGTCATGTGTATCGAAAACTGGAGCGTGAGGTTCTCTCGGACAATGGATAATGGAAAGTAAAGTCTATCTATTAATTATTCATGCTCGGACGAAAAAAAAAGGTTCAAGATTGCGATTATGTTTTTAGGTCATCGATGAAGTTCCAGAGAAGAATGAATGGATTTTTGAAAGCAGATATACGTCGTCAAGGAAGTGTTTGTTTACAAGTATTTTGCGGGATTTTATTTGCCCTTAAACCCTTCTGCGACTACAGTTTATGCTCGGTCTACATTTTACCCCAGCCTGCGTTTTACTCTCAGTCTGTAGTCTGCATTTTACACTCAGTCTGCATTTTACCCCTGGTCCGCAGTCTGCGTTTTACACTGACCGATTGCATGGTAACGGCAGCCCTTACAGTTAGAGTAATATCATAAAGCGGTTGAAGTTTCGTCCGGCTGAATCACCTTCAACGTTAAAGAACGCACTTTACTGAGTCCCTAATTTAAAATCAACATATGAACTTCAGTAAAGCATTAACGAGTTTGTCTTAGGAAAGTGTCACTTAAAAAAGAGAGATCAGTGTATCTTAAAACTAACTGAGTGGATGACTCATCAGCTTGGAAAGTAAGACGAAAAATTGCTTTTCAGTTCCAGTTCAGAGAGTATTTAAGACAAGTTCTCCAATGGATTACTATCCTGATACGCTAATGGAACTTCAGTGTGTCTTTAAGGGACGGCCTCGTCCTCGTGTTGCGTGGTACAATGTAGATAGTAAACTAATCATCAACGGATCTGAAAGCTTTTATCTCTACGAGCAGCTGTTTGGAGAGGACATCTTATCTTCTGTTCTTCGAAATCCTAATATCCAAGAAAAACAGGCAGGGGCTTATAAATGCACAGGAATGAACAACATTACTGGATGGTCGAGTGAAAACACTGGGATAATTGAAATACGTTATCGTTGTAAGTGATCTGATTACTTTAAATAAAGCCACTAATTAACCGGGGCGAGTAAAACTCTTACGACCCCTTTTTTCAATCAGAGCCAGGTTGTTCAAAACCACCGGGTTAGAGCAAAATTTGATTTCAGATGTTAAAGTTTAGACAGCAAAGTCAGTTTAATTTTTTTTTCTACAATTTGATGAATGGATGCTTAAAAAACTAGGGAAACCTTATCTATGAAAGTGCTTTTAAACAGAAGAAATATTAGCCGTTGGCACTAATCGGCCCTCGAACAACTAGATCCAGGTTTATAAATGGGTACCAGAAACATAACGTTGGGGTTGTCCTGTTGCAATGAACAGAATGGAATGGAATTAATGATGGGTGCTTCATGTTTTAAAAACAAGCCTCTGACCTCCACGAACACGAGACGTCCAGAGTGAAATGTTTCATAAAGGATACGCCAGTCGGTCACCTGAGGCAGATGTATCCTAGCTACATCAATGATATACTTGCCAAATAATATTACGTGTTCTAGATAAGAGCGATTGTCCGGCCAGATACGAAAAACCACTAAACAAAACTACCCTTAAAAAGTAACAAAAAAATGTGAGGAAACTATTCCCCTAGGAATGCAGTGACACAAAGCCCGAGGAAAGGGATCAGACAAAAAGTAGAACACGGAATACCTTGTTACATAGAAGACGCCAAAAAAGCAGTAGACCTGCACCGTTCTAAGGGACTGTGCAATAATTACCTGGAGGGGGGTTGGAAAACTAGAGATGGGGCATAGGAGAAAATGACAACAAGAGAGAGGGGGGGTTGGATGTAAAATTTAATACATACAGGGAGGGGCATTACTTTTTCATTCCTTTTTGCAAACTGGAAAAGTAGTGGAAGAGTTATTACAGTTCAAATATAAGTACTAACATTGGAATAAAACTGACAAATTTATCAACTCTACTGAAGGTGTTCTAATCTATGAACCGTTGTTTTCCTATCTGTCATGCAGTAGGAAAGGAATGCCTCTGTTATATATGTTAAAACAGGGCTATTTTATCTGCACTAGGATTTAATAAAACAGGAAACTTTAATTAAAAGTTGCAAAAGAAGCACTATAATGTTATTCAATGAAAAAGAAAGATGGCAATGTTAGCACACATGGCATCATAATTTAGCAGAATGAAAAACCCAACCGTTGAAATTTTAATAGCAATACAAATTTAAAGTATGGTAAATAAGACAGGTAAAAGATTTAACGGCGCTTACCAACAAGCTGCTGAAAATGTATCTAAAGCAAAAAGGTCTTAAAATAAGTGGAAGCAAGGCTGAGTTGATTGATCGAGTTCTCACCCACGTACGCGGGAACCTTAGTGCCAGAGATGCTGTAGAAGATGAGGAATCTCCCAATTCATGCGAAGACAACACAAGCTCAGAGTTCAGTGATTCTGATGACTCTTCAAATGACTCTTCGACGTATGTCGAAGAGTGATTTGAAGTGATGTTTGTACCGGAGGAGGAAATCCAACAAGTAAACTAGGTATGAGGTTATCAATGGGAGGAGACGTTTTTCAAGAGGGGGGGGGGTGAGGGGGGTTAGCCTTAATATTATCATAATGTGAGGGGGACATATTTCACCCATTTCCCAACCCCCCCCCCCCAGGTGATTATTGCACAGTCCCTAAACCTCTTATTTCACTGATCCCCTTTAATCTGCACCTCCATTGTTTTCAGGGATTGGGGCATTGTTATGTGACAATCCCTATTGTTTTCCCCGCTAATCAAAAACATTCTTTCAAATTGGTGCGGGATCGCCCCCAAAAAGACAAAATTTGAGAGGATGTAGGTGTAAATACCTAAATACATATATACCGTGACCTAATAAACGCCCACTAATAAAAGACTCTTATCTAATAAACGCCCCCTCAACGCTGTTAAAATTATATTAGACGCCCATCTCTAATAAACGCCCGCTTTCTCAATAATAAAATTGGAAGTTGCCAATGTTGGTCTTAAAGGAGGGAAAGTAAGAAGAGATAAACCTCTTGGAGCAAGGGCGAGACAACAGCAAAATAAACTGACATATGGTATAGCCTCCGGAAATCGAGCACAGGCCACATGGGTCGGAGGCGAGAGCTGTTACCACTGAGCCACCCTTGCGTTCTTAACCTGTTTAGCAGACACAATCAGTTAAAAGAGTGCTATATTAAACACCCCACGGTTGCTAAAGGATTATTTTCATCCACTCGCTAAGGGGTCATTAAGGACGGCGTGTTACTGAAGAGAATAGGAGAGAAGGCGTAAAAGAGAAAAGTAGACGGACAGCTACAATCGAAAAGTAAAAAAGCGTGATCATCGTGATGCCCCATTTGCCATTTGCCACATTTATATTGTCACAAATACTCAGGACTCAGTATGGGAGGGACTGGAAATAGGGCTGTACTGACGCTGCACAAATGCAACGCAGCAATGATTTGATTAAAAACATTATTTGTTTATAATATTTTTCACATTTTCGAATATAGGTATGTCTAGAGGTGACGTGGATATCTCCCCTCGCCAAGTTTCGGTGACAGGCTTTAACAACGTCAGCTTAAAATGCCTGGCTAAAATAAGACCAAGCGAATGTATCAACAACGAATTACAGTGGCGTTTTTTCCAGAGGCCCTTAAAGTCCGGTGAGAAGTATGAAATTCAAGAAAGGAAAACCAAGACAAAATGCAAAAGAGTTTTAATGATCACCATTTTTAACATTACTTATGCTGATGAGGGGACGTATAGTTGTATGTGGACCTGCGAAAGCGACGATCATAGTGCTGTCGGCGTGGGTACTTCAATGCAGTTGAAAGTACTATCAGGTATGAATAATTGTGTGATAATTAGCAGTGCATTTTCAGAAGGTGTTAGAGTAGGTGAAATTTTTCGTTACAAAGAAGAAGGGGGCAAAAAGATTAATGCTGAGAAAATGTAAATTAATGACAGATGAAATTTGCAACTTGAGCCTATCCAGTGTGTGTCGGTTACAAGAAATCTTTCTCTTCATTTTGAGTTATTATTTTGCAAAGAAACGATCGTGCAATGTGTAGTTCCAGAAAATATCTATACCCCTCACGGAGGGCAACTAGGGTCTGATAGATTTTGCTGGCATAATTTTTGGCATAATTCGTCATTACGAGCATAACTTTCAATGCATGTATTTCCCGAAAAAAGCACTGCTAGCATAATTTGCACTTCTGGCTAGTTTTGCAGCGCAAAATTGTCATAGAACCAATTTTTTTTTTTTTGACCCGAGATAATTATAAGTGTTACGGGCAAATTTTTAAAAGTAACAAAATCAATTTTTTGTCCTCTTATTGTCGCATTCACGGGACCTGGCTCCCAAAGGTAATGACTTAGGATCTTTCCACAGGACCAAGACATGCGCATAACTGACTAACTCTGTTATCCAAGATAGGGTCCGTGTGCTGGTATTTTCTTTGAATTTTTATAGTTTTCAGAGACTGAATTATGCACACTTAAGGTTACTACATGTAAATAGGGTAAATGTTTCTCCCATTTACTTGTTTGTTGCATTGTTACTGAGGTATTTTTACCAAATTTGAAGAAAAAGGTAGAAGCATAATTTCTGCATACTTACCTAAAATCAAACATATTTTACAAAAATAATCTTAATTATTGGCATAATTTTAGAAATATAGGAGCACTGCTAGTAGCATATTATGCCACTTTTCGAGTAGAATCTCAAAGCCTAAGGGCAAGGGAAATTCCGTGGGGAGGGAGGGGAGGGGGGAAGGCGGTTCAAAAACGAGGCAATTACCGAGGGGGTGAGAGTGGCTTTTCGAGGTGTTTTCCCGGAGACTCTGGGTAAGATTGGTGAGTTATTAAAAAGCAACAGCTGCTCTGTTGAGTAAGCTGTCAGTTATTTCCGACGATCTTTTATTTATGGACAACCGAATGTGTTTTGAAACAATACCAATTTAAGCACACGTACCAACTCCCATTTAGTGGCAGCCATGGACAGCTGTTTTGCCCTTATTGGGGCTCATCAGGGTTATGGCTTTGCGCATGTGTAAGGTACTGGCCATACCGCAATCTCGTTCCCGGAGTCCGCGCGTTACCTTGTCCAGCGGAACAAGAGTAAAACGGACTCTGAGAACGAGATTGGCCATACCGCGGAGTTGGTACGAGTGCCTGAGTGCTTATATTGGTGTGGAATTTTTTTTTTCACATCTTATGCGATAGTATATACTACTACTACTACTACTACTAATAATAATAATGATAATAATAATAATAATAGTAATAATAATAATAATAATAATAACATTAAACAATTTATATAGCGCCAGAATTTTTTTTTTAATGACGACAAATTAACAGTCAACATTAATACACAGCAATAGTAAATAATAAATTAGTAGGTCGGTAAGTAACAAAACTTAAATACAGCTTCGACACACAATAATAAACAACAAAAAATTATAACGGTAAAAATAAAAGGTATTGGAGGATAAAAGCCCGTCAGTTGCCACAGATATTTTTCAATGCGATATTGTTCAAAAAGCTTACGTAAAAATTCATCTTAATTAGGTTTCGTTACGATGTTCTTGCAAGTGTATAAGTAGTTCTTTTGCAATAAAGCCAACAGAAGGAGTTTGCTTTGACTTGATTTTCACATTTGCAATGGAAAGGAGTCTTCGAATGTATTAAATAAAATCTGCTTGTTTGAATCAAAGTTGTACATTCTCTTTATGATATTCATTAAACCACCCTAAAGGTTTGGAAAAGAATTTCTTTGGCTCTGGACAATTGTATAAAGGCAAGAAAGGATAAGAGCTTTATCCTCTCTTGATAAAGGTCGTGTTCAATTGAATCAGGATTAACTAGAAATACGTAAATCGCAGGACCTCGCGAAGGACTTCGGGGGAACGGCAAGTAAAGCCGAGAAGAAAATTTGTAAATCTAAAAATTGTAAGCTTTATATAAAAACATAACAAAACTGTTATACCTAAAATGAAAACTAAACGAAAAGAAAAAGAAAAAAAAAAAGGAGAAAAAAAAGAAAAGAAAAGAAGCAAAGAGAAAAAGGTTATGCCTGGAATCGAGCTCGGGACCTTCGACTCACCGGGCCACGTGGAAGACACAAAAGATTATTTGTCGAAATTTTATTATAAAAACCTTCGAGCCTTATTAAACGTGAATTCAAATATATTTTTCAGAAGAATGACGGCAGTTTCGACGGTGAAAACCTAACGTAGTTGCATTTCATCGCATTTACATGTAAAGAATGGAAGCCCAATTGCAACAGTCCAGGCCGATACGGTCTAAACTCGTCTGCGAGCAAAACGGGTTTTGTTACCGCGATGTTCGCTCATATTTTAAGGCTAATTATCCAAAATCGCTTCCATTTGCTCTTAAAGTACTTTAGCATTCGAAATTCATTGAGTGATGTTCCTTCTGCTCCGCTGTTTGTTGATGCCGTCTCCATTTTTGTTGCTTGCGCCGTTGAATTTCAAGTCGGCGTTCTCGCTCCAGAAAATGTTTCGGTGTCAAATCTCCCCCTGCGAGGATTTACAATTCGGCGTTCTTGTGTTTGCTGTTCTGTTTGCATGAGAAATGGCTTGAGATTC